CCGGTTGTAGATGCTTCTAGTCTTTACCGAGGCCTGAGCAAATGGCAGCGCTTCATCTTTGAATTGGTCTTTTGGGTTTTGATCCTCGAATTCATCTGTCATGACGGAGTCGATGGAACTCCAATGTAGATTCCTACAATCTCTTGGCTGTTAGGTTTTCTCGTCATAAGTGCGCGACAGTATCTGGTGTGGTCGATTCAACAGTCACGACAATGGCTTTAGGGCGTTGATCTTCAAGGACATGTGCACGAAGACTTTTCAGTTATCATTAATAAGGTTAGGCCGGCTCAGGTGTGGGGCAGCTACAATGGTGTGTTAACGGCTCGGTCCGACAGTGGTAGTGGTCGTTCGGTGGTCCACCTTGATGTATTTTTTTAATTATGTTTAGAATGCTTTGTACCTTCGGTTAACTTTTATAATAAAATTGTGTTTTTTTAAAACAAAAGAAAATGTATTGACATGTGACCGTGTACCATCACACATAATGTACTTTCGATGAACTTTGTATCATCAAACGAAAATATCAACACCCCGTTTCCAAAAAGACTAACACTCCGTCAGACGGTTACACAAATAGACCGATCTTCTCTGCTCAGGTGACTATCTTACGGCTACCCAAAGAACCGCATCTGTTGTTTGTACGTACCTATTTCGTGTGTGAAACTGGGCGCAACCGAATTTTATTCCCCGTGTTGGTCGTGCACTGACACTGCTGCAGCATGTTGCAACTCCGGAATGCTACTTATTCAAAAAAAAAAAACTCCGGAATGCTACAATCACGGCTGGTGCTGATTGCGAGTTCAGATAAACTTAACTTCAGTTTATCCATGGTTTTTACCTTCTTTTTTTAGCTGGCATGCTTTTTTTAACTTTGCTTTTTACTCTTCAGAAAAAAAAATCTTACATTATAAAACCGAGGAAGTACTTTTAAGCAATTGATTCATCAGCAGCTCTCGTACATGTTTGCCATCACGTTGCTATGCCATATGCTCCATGCACACCTAGACCTTGTTCGACAATCCACCGACTCCGAAAATCTGCGAAGCAAAAAAACTGCAGCTTCATCCGCTCCGGGAGCGGAGTTGTGGAACATAGCAATTACAAACAGGGCATTAACTGCTGAAAGGCGAGACCGGGGCTCCTCCCGCCCAGGCCACGCCGCGCCTTTTGGATGCGGCCGGCGGTTCTCAACATCTCGACCCGGGCGTTCGATGATCTCTGTCAGGCATTCAGTGCTTCCAGTTGGATTAGCTGGCACGTTGCACATGCGCGGTCACAAATCGCAAGGGCATGGGATCTGTCGTTCTCCGTCAAAACCTTAAAACACACTGTGCTGTACCGTGAGTTTGCCGGCCATAACATTGCAAGATTATTTTGATGCTGGTAATCTGTGGTGCCGATCGATGATGCTACCGCAAACAGGAGAAATGATCGTGGGGTCTCTTGCGCTCTTGCACGTAGTCGTGTTGACGAACAGCGTAAGCAGTAAAAAAAGGCGTTGTTATCGTGAAATGCGTAAGGTGGATCGACCAGTCGCCAGCTCTGTCGCGTGCGCAGCGCTTAGGGCTAGTTTGGTTCGCTTCCACGTCGCGGGATGCCTGGCCTGGAGCTTCCCTGAAGTCTGCCTGAAGTTCGTTTGGTTGGTGTCCTGAGAATTTTGGTGCGAGCCTGGCCTGAATCGCCCAGGCATGAGATTAGCCTGCCAGGCGTCCCCTTCCATCCACCTGGACAGCAGGCAACATCAGCCTGACGCTGATCCAGCAGGTTATAGATGAGTTATGGGCTGCTTTGTCAGTTTTATGTTTGTTTATTCCTCCCAGGCCCAGCACACAATTCAAACAGCTACCTCTCCAGGCGGCGAAAATCAT